TCAAGTCCCCTCCAATTCAACACACAAACTGCTTTGCATAAACTCTCGCTTTACGTGAAACATCTTAACAACCTTGAGATTTTTATTTTGTTTTTCCTATCGACACATCTTCAGTTTGGATAAACAACACTGGAACCGTAGAATTAGCCGATCAAGGAGCAGCTTCAGTTTGGATAAACAACATTGCTTCTCGACCAACTAATTACCTATCCAAGTCTCGGTCGACAAGGATTTTCAAATCCTTGTTGGTAGAGGTCATCTCATCAGCCTTCTCGGCGAAGTGAGGTGTTACCAGGTTACTACATTCGGCACATTGAAAGCCAAATCTGATATTGAACTTCGCAAAACTAGCAGCCTTGTCTTCAGGCTCTAGAACCTGAAGGCCGAGACGTGTTCCTTCCTTAGACACAGTCGCAAGATCAAGAAATCAGCAACGCGCTCAACGCAACATCAACACATTTTACTCCCTGGTTGAGCTCGGTCGACGAATTGGCACACCCCGCACACAACCGAATGGCGTAGTTAACTTATTAATTACTCAACCTGCGCGCCATATAGACTTGGTAGTTTTTAGGGTCAACACCAACCTAGTCAGTTAGGCCAAAATTGCAAACCGAAACTGACCAAGCTGGGTCTAAAACCGATAAGGTCGGTTAACCGACAATGGTGGGTTGATTTAGATCGGTTTTCGATTTGTGTGAAGACGAAAATACATAACAAATTCTTTTCCCAAAAGCTACATAACGTAGAACCAATATGAGTGATTGCTCAAAGAAAAACACAAATGATGCAGCTCAAGGAGAGCACCAAAGAGCAGCTACTACCTTCTCCAAATGTTGACCCTATTTTCCTTTCATAATTTCATTCCTCTCTGCTTTTTAGGCACATAAATGTTGCCTTTTCTTTTTACTTTTTGAATGAAAGGAAAAGGGACTCTTAAAATAATCAAGTTTTATTTTTATGTGGTGGATACAAAGTAACTCGTAAATAACTAATTATTTATATTACTACAAGTATTAATTATGGTTATAAAAATAAAATAAGTATATGCGGGTTGGTTCGGTTAACAGCATCCGAAGAATTTTGAAAACCGCTTGCCAAATCGATTAAGATCGATGCGGTTCGGTTTAACCATCGAAAATTTAAAATAAAAAAAATCGAACCAACCCATCAGTGCGGTTTGGGTAGTTCAGTCAGTTTTTTTTTAATGCACCCTAATTTATATGGTTCGGATTTATAGCCTAGATCTAATTCAGAGACGATAATATTTCACAAATATCAATATGAGATTGCAAAAGAGTGTTTCAATTAAGCGATGACAACCCTTAATTCACTAGTGTAGAAATAGGCCAATAACAATATTTAAATTCTTGCTCACAAACAAATGCCAAAAAGAAAAGGAGAAGCCAAAATTTCTCAACACGAGAGTCGAACTCTAACAAGATGAGGAAACACCAAATAGATCAAGAAAAAGCAAACCCAACGGTGCCCAAGTGTTTCATATCCCCCTTTCATGAAAGCTTAATAACCTTGTAAACATATTAGAACTGAGAGGTTTTTCTAGCACAAACGATATTATTAATTGAATTTAAACTTGAAATATAGTGAATTGAACGGAAACATCTTATTCACTAAGATAATCCACCGCTTGTAAAATTAGAAGCTTTTAGTTTAATATGAGATGACAGTTTCATACCCTTCATACACATTCTCGGGCCTATTCAACACAACGTTTGGGCTGTTTAAATAAGTAAAAAAATAGCGCAACCTTTGTATCTAAACCTACCATTCAGGCCCAATTAAATGAAAACGTGAAAAGTTGGAAAACCCAGAAACTTTGAGGCTGCTCTCTCTCCAGCAAAAAGATGAGCTGGGCTCCGAGGTTCTTCTCTTCTACTTCCAATCCAGTAAGCAACTCCAATTGTTGCAATAAATTTCTTGTCGACAACGCCGCATATGGTGAAAGTTAAAGTTTCATTATAAAATTAATACATAAACAACAAAGTTCTAAAAGATGTTAGTCGTTAGTCGGGTGGTTAGTTGGAGGCTAGAGCCTAGGTGGCTAGGCGGGAATTTAGACGGACCAAACGGATTTAAGTAAATTTATTATGTATCGTATATATAAATGCATATGTATACTTAAAAATACAGAATTCTATTGGAATACATAAATTGAAAAATAAAATGACATAAATTATAAAGTATTCGAACATAATGAAAACTTGAGGAACAAACATATAATGTGTGGTATTCAAAAAGTCTTTTACAATTTATTGAAAAAATAAAATGCAAAATATAAGTTATCTATTTTATGTTTAAGTGAGAATCGCAAAAGGTCTAGGTACCATTTCTTAATTTTCAAACGCCTAGACATTAATCAGGCCGGTGACTAACCACGTAGCCCCTAGGCAAGGATTTTTAGAACAGTGATAAATAGTAGTCCAATTCCTTTTAAATCCTTGTAAGGTTGGGTCCTTCAACAACATGGGACTTTATCCTTCACACTTTCTCACACTTCTTCAAATGTGGTGAATTTTCAAGCCAAACACATAGACAACACAAGAGTTACATGGAGTGCTTGTGGCAGTTGAGCTTCATACATGGGCCAACACGGCTATAATACCGTGAAGGAAGTTAAGGTTTCACTATAAAATCAATTGACAATATAGAGTAACTCAACTCTTACAAGCCTTTGAAAAGTTTAATCCTTCACTGACGTGAGATTTTATCCTTCGCATTCACACTATAGACAAAAACTTAAATACATTAGTCTTCAATAGTGTGAACTATTGGATAGTTATGCTTTATATTCATTAAATTGGTAAGTAAGAAAAGAGTATTGTTTTCTTAATTCAACCATGGCATTTCATTTCATTTCTCGTACTAATTCAGAATGTTAAGAAAAATTGCTTCACATTATTGGTGGAGAAAGACACGGTAACTCTATCCATGTGCATAGAAATCCTCCCCAATCCCAAATCCAATGACAGAGACACGTTAATACGGATAGCGAAATGACGTGGTGAGCAGGTTAAGTTGCATACAAGATTGCAGAGAGAGGAGCGGACCAAACAACAAATGGCACATGAGAGATGTGGTTGTTTGTTTGTTGCCTGCCGCTCCTTAATTTGGAGCCTTGCGCCTTGTTTCTTTCTCTTTCCTTTCTGCTTTTCATGAAACCGATCCATCATTCCCTTCGATCCACTTTGACCATCTCCTCGTTCTTCTGCTTGGCAGTTGGCATATGATCTTTTGGTCACATTAAGCCATTGTACTTGCACATCTTATTGCCCTAGTCAAAAGATGAAAAGATGTGCGTCGCCATTTTTGCCTATTACTCTTCACTCACCAAGAAAAGTGCTTCAATGTTTCAAACATGGCTTGGTGTGTTTAGTTTAAGGTGATGGAATTTTATAGACTACAATGAGTGCTCTTATAGCTAGAAGTTCTTCGATGCGAGATAAATTTTGTCGATCGACCAGTTGCGTTGAGCCGATGAATCAACATCTGCAACTATCTTGTATTGGAGAAAGTCTATTTCGCTTAGTCTCCAATTTAAACAATAGAATGAGAATTTCTCGAGAGAAATAATACCCATCATATTTTTAAAATTCAATTATCCATGAAAAGACTTTAAGATCAAATTACAGTCCTCACTCGTCACACATGTCCCATCTCTAAACTTCGGACTCCAACCCAACCCTTGAGTATGAGACCTAGAAACTCGATCAAAACTCTTGACCTAGATTTTGAATCTTGAACATGAAAAATATCTCAATCTTAAATTCGAAGTCATGACTTAAAGTACTTAAGCTCTAGATAGTGGGAAGAGAACAAATCATTAATATTGACATTTGATTCTTATTTTCAACACAATAATGTTATTTAAACACACAATACCACTTAAACACTCACTGATATACTCTCCAATAGAAGTGAACTTCAGCATTATGTATGGGACTCATATGCATAAAATAGTGTATCAAGTTTGTGCGTCTAAATAGCAGCATGATCGTTTTCACAAAACTAAACTGGTTTAAATAGAATAAACTTACTGATAAAGTTGGATCCATACTTCAGAATAATGGACATTTAAGAGTTCAAGTTCAAACTAGCTAGCTACATATATTTGGGACAAAACAAAACACGTACACGGGAAAGTAGCCGAAGAGATTTGGCTCGTACGATGGCCTCTTGTGGGGGCTGAAATTAATCACTCCAATAAACAAACGACAAATGATATCGTATAAGATCTATCAAACGAGAAATTTTTAATGATGGCACATGAGGTTATACCCAACAACAACTGTGGGGGAAATTCAGAATTAATAATTTAATTTAAATATTTTTTACAAAGTTAATGAGAAGGGTTACCCACCTCACACGATAGGTAACATGATTGGAGGTATGATGGGAAAATTGGAGGAGTTGGGTGACAAACAAGAAGATTGAATCGGTTGAGAGGGACCCTAATGGAGTTGAACCAAAGAAATTATAATGAACATACTCATTCTTTATTCTTTTAATTGTTGTTAGATTAAAATTATGGGAAATGTTTAGCATTATTCCTCAATGACAATTCGATTTGCCCTATCGACTTTCAATTTAGTTCCAAACCTTGAAGTCTAATAAAATCTGTCGAATTTTTTAGCAATGCATTTTATGTGTATAGAAAGTGGCCTCATTTAACGAGAAATTAACAAATTGAATGGCAAATTGATACGTTTTAGAAATTCTAATCAAGTCTTCAAGTTTAGTGATAATAAGTGAAGAAATAATGTCTTATTTAATGTTCATCTACTTGTATTATTACCCGTTATATATCGACTCGTGCCATGGGTACATAAAGAATGAGTCCAAATAAAAATGTTGCTAGCTTTCGCTTTTTCGGTAGAACTAACTAAACTAACAAACAGTTTTTTCCAATACAACTAACAAACAGCTTTTTCCATTACGAAGTGATTAACAGTTAATAGGCATGATAACGAAAGATGGGAAAGTGGAAAGTGATCGTTCAGTCAAAGCGGGGTTCATTAGTTTCACAACTTAATAAAGGTGAGCAACAACAAACACCAAAAGGAGGACCTAACTTTCCTCCAAAGGATCAAACGCTTTTGCAGTTTGCAAAACCAAAAAAAGGGACAAACAAATCCAACCCCATTTGGCATCCCACTTAATTAATCAAAAGAAGACCAATTACTAAAATATATATGGCTCTCCAAAAGATCAACAATATAATTAAAATTTAAACACCCCAAATTACTAATTAAGTAACCAAATATATAGGCATGGCAGATGTAGAGCTCCTCTGTTGCTGCTGCTCCATGTTAAGCTCCCTCAGGCTCAGGTAAGGGATGCCCATCTCATCTTTACTCGCCGGAGACATTGTTCCGGCGAGCGGTCCCGACGACGGCCTGCTAGTACTCCGGTAAGGCGTGCTCGACCCACTTCTGCTCTCAGTGATGTAAACCGGCCCAGAAATCGAAGCCCGGAAGGCTTTGGCCCTGGCCTGATGAACATCTTCATCACCGGCGGGGCCGCGGTGGTAGTGGTGGGTTGTCAGCTTGTTCCATTTGAAGAAAAGCAGAGCGCTTTTCCACCAGCGCTTCTTCTTGGTTTTCTTGTGGTGGGGTTTTTTGGGGTCGTCTTTTGAGATGGGTTTTTGGAGCTTGAAGTGTACGGAGTCTATGGATCTCGTCGTCTCCCGCTTGTGCCTCCTTGCGTCCTCCAGAACCTTCATTTTTTTTACATGAAAAGAAATGGGTCAGATTAAAATTTGTTGCAGAGTGAGAGAGGAGAGAGAGAGATGGGAGAGAAGGAAGAAATGGGACCTGAAAGTAGTCGATTTGGGGGTCGAAGCCATAGTCGCTGAAGTGTTGGGTTTGTGGCATCGGAAAGATTGGTGACTTGTTGGACATTTTGCTCTCTGTTTTTTTGCTGTTTTTTTAAGTGCTTTTGGGGTATCTGCTTTGTGGGAAAGCAGAGGGAGCAGGTAGTGGAGGGGGAAGTGGAGTGGGAAAAGTGGGAGGTTTGGGGGCTCAATGGGGAGTAATGGCCGTTGGGTATTGGTAAACCCTAGTAAATGCTGTGTGCACCTTTGTAGACTTCCAAGTTCCATTCCATTGACACTATCCTGCTCCCTTTTTATTAATTAAGTGCATTTAATCTCCTTCACACGCATACGCATGTAAAGATTGTATCTTTTTTCTTTCTCAGAAAGTAAACTTCATTAAAGTAAAGGGAAATTACAATTTGTGATAGATGGATTAAGTCCAAAAGAAACACAAAATCGGAAATAAGCAGAGGGAGATAAAAGGAGTGAAAAGGCCCAAGCCGAAAGGTCGCTGTAACCAAAGATACAGCGGGAGATCCAAACAAACTTAGACATTTAGGCAACAAAACAAACAACAACAAAAAAAAATCCTAAATTCAACCAGCAGAACCCAAACCGCTCATCCCCAAGGTAAGCCATCGCCCTAAAATTAAAAAACACCCAAACTAAAACCTAGACCCGAAAGTGATCAGCAAGGTCAATCCACCAAGAACCACATCCGCAGCCACACCTGGAAAGGAGGTCATCAAATGTAACAAGTGGGGAGGGCAAAAGGTGTGTGTAAAACACCTTGTGTCGATATAAATTGTGTCACACTTCACCCACTATTTTCGGCATATGCCAATTTAGTAGTGGGCTGTTAGTGTAGGATCTTGGGTCAAGACCAAGTCCAATACTCTAAGATCTAATTCATGATTATGGGTTAGAGAAGAGGAGAGGAAGGAAAAGAAGGTATGATAGGGCTGGGAAATGGGGATGGTGGTGAATGAGTTCAAAACTAAGATTAGGATGGAGAAGAATAGGAGATGGAGAGAAAGGAAAAGCAAGACCAGAGGAGAGGGAGGAAGGAAAACTAAAAAACAAAAGGTAGTGAAAACTGATGAAGAATGCTAGAGAAACAGCGATGAACGCTGAAGAAGGGGCATGAAGCCCAAATCCGAGACAAGCTCATAGAAAATTGACACCAAACTCAAAGAAAACTGAAATAAAACTCAGAAGAAAACTAAAGGAGGAGGGAAGGAGGAGAAAGAAAAAGGGGGGGGGGGGGGGGGGGGGCAAGGTGGGCGTTGCCACCGGCACCCAAGCCAAAGGCTAGGGCTATGTGTTTTTAGCGAAAGAGAGAAGGTTAGCCTCCATGTAAAGACTGTACTAGTAAGAGCAAATAAATTACAGAATATTTTTTTGTAAACTTTAACGAAAAGTTACCGATACTGTTCACTTTAACGAAAACCACATTTTTACACTAAAAAATCAATTTTGATACTATTCATTTTACCCTTTATTTTGTCTTTATCGTTAAAACTCAAGGTTTTCAAGTCCTTTTCATTAGTTTTCCTTTTTTTTTTTTGGAGGTGCATATGATGTTTTATTTCTGAGGCTTATATGAATTCTTGTGCTGAGTGGCTCTTCCATGCTATTTAGTACTATAAGCAAGCAATTTACAATAGTAGACATATACTCTCTTAGAGTAGAAAATGTACTAATGGAGGAACTAATGGATTTTTTGAATCTGTAAAGCAATTTCAGGAAAAGAAAAAAAAAAGTGATCTATGAACTCAGAACACTCTCCAACAATGTATAAACTACTTCACTGTATTATACGAAAAACTGGTCATGCGCATTGATTGTTTACACAATTGTACAAATTGAATCGAGTCGAGTGGGCATTAATATGAAATGTTTGTGTGGAATAATTCACCATAACCTACTAACGGTTTGATAATCTTACAGACTTTTTTGGAATAGCTAAAAGTGTGCATAACATCGTTTTATAAAAATAGAGAGAAAACAAAAATGCATGTAGGTCATGGAACACTACTAGGTCTCTTCATAAGCAATTCCAAGTGTTTATTCATGAGATACTTGAATTATTTTCATAAAAAACTTCGACATGTTACTACACATATAGATCAATCTCAAACGAATTAGTGATTGGTGTGAAAATGGCATAGATATGTCAATTTGAAATCTCCAAAACTAAAGTTTTTGCAAAGAAACAGTTAGTCAAAATACAGTCACAACTCACAAGCATCATAAAAATGAGAAATGTATAGTTTGCAAGTGACAAGGTAGAATAATAGAAGTTAGGTACTTTTGCTCTCAAATCCCCAAGCAACCTAATCATCTTGGAGACCCATATATCATGCATATGTTTAGTTTAATACTTTGATTATTCAATAGAAACCAAATCACGTGACCTCCATACAATCTTTGCTATTTTAATGTGCACAAAATTAAAAGAAAAATGAAGAGCAAACCCCACGGGGTTCATATTGCAGCATTAAAATTGTCTATGTAACCTCAAAGTGCGAACAAAGAAAAACTCGCTCACATCACGTACATGGTCACATGTGGGCGTGGGGATGTAAGAATATCGGTAGTTATCGCATCCCACTCAACCTTTGTCAAATAGTTCTCTCGACCGATGACTGATCGACCAAATTGGTTATGTGCTTTTCAACTGCATGCATGCATGTTGCTGCACTCGCTTCCTGAGATCGATATATTTCCATGTGAAAAGATCTTATTGCAAGAAGTTTTTCTACTTCAAGTGAAGAAAGTAAGAATCAAACTCTTGTTGTGAGTGTGAGGATTAGTGTTTTGCCGCTGAAACACAAGTCCACATTAAAAAAATATTAGCAATAAGTATAACACCACCACCAAGCACCGCCTTCCCTTTCTTTTGTTTTTCATGTTTTTTTTTAGATGGAAGTAAAGAATGTCTTACATAAGCCAAAGCATCGGCAACAAAGTTAGCTTCCCAATAAATGTAGCAAAGCTAAATACAATGAAATATGCGTACCAACTTTTGAACATTCATCAATGACATCATGAAGACCTTTGAATCCACCTCCAACTTCCCTTGGACAAATCCATTTATTTTTATGTTGAAAAGACTATGTTATGGATTTTTTCTTTTTCTGGTGAATTAAATTTAACAGAAGGAATGTTGCTAAAGCCCAGCAAATAAGTTTCCTGTTTACTATTTGTCTCACTGGTCTGCAATAGGCCCGCCCAGTTTACTCCACCATATTATTTGGTTGCTGAAAGGCCCAAAATTCTTTGATGAGATATGGGCCAAACGCCCCCAAGTATATGTTAGCCCCCAATTACTTTAGATTCATAAATATTAATTGTGTTGTTAATTTTTATCATAACACGTGGATTAGTAAAATTTCAAATTTTGTTACAAATCTATTCCAATATTGAGAAGAGATTAGCAAGAATTGACAAGATTTTTTTGAAAGCAAAATTTATCTCCACATTAGGAAGAAGCACTTTTGTGTGAAAATCTACATATGACATAAAAACGTTGAGTGAGACCAACTATGAGCGGGTGGGACAAAAACACGAAATTCTGGCTTGATTATTAAGTAGTGTCGCATAGCTTACGTGATATTGAGTTTTTTCACCCATAAATTTGAAACCCCCTAATCTCCTTTGTATCAAAGGGATTTCATCAACGACACAAACCTACATGATGAAATTCTCCATATGAGGTATTCAAATCTCACTTGGCTTGGAGAATGCCGATAACACACCGACCGAACCGATCCAATATCAATCTCATCATCCTTGTCAATCTACAAGACACTATAAATCTAATCCCGACCAGTTGGGAACTTGGGATACTATCTCCTAATCCATCTCTTTGTGTTTCCCCATTTATCAACATCTAGTTTCTTAATAGTTTCAATATCATGCTTTGTTGGCGGTAGGTGGTATTGGACCATTATTTTCATTTCTATAACCAAACCTATAAATATCATAACACTTGCTCAAGAGATTTTTCAGTGCGCACAAGAACATGGACACATGCGTAGTACGTCATTATACAAGTGAAAGGACATTCGGGCCAAAATTTTAAGCCATAACTATTGGTGGAGAAAAACAGTTTTTGGTTTATGGTTCAAAAATTTCAGACTTATTTTTAAGCTTTATCCCCCACCATTGGAGTTTGTCTTATATATATAACATATGACGTATCGCCCCATTTTTCGGACACACTAAAAAATTTGTTCTATATACTCTACTAAGTTTAACAGGTCTGTGTAGAACCAAGCATGGTGCCCATCAGTGGATAGAGAGAAGAATGGTAAAGAGCGCTGATTGGTTGAAGGTTACGTTCATTGCTCGACTACTAACTCAACTGCAAGATCGAATTGGCACTCGGGAATGAAGAAGCAGAAATCCTCCTTCCCACAAAAACAAAAGGTCGTACCCAGTGCACAAGGCTTCCGCTTTACGCAGGGTCTCGGAGAGGTGAATGTCAGCTAGCCTTACCCCCATTTATGGAGAAGCTGCTCCCAAATCTCGAACCCGAGACCTACCGCTCATGGGCGAAGGCACTTGCCATTCTTCAAAGGTCGTACTCAGAGGCTGCTCCCACAAAAAATAAAAATAAAAAATAAAAGAGTTTTCGCTTTTTCAATTATACTGCCTTTGGTTGTTGCGAGAACCTCGATTTCGAGAAAAGTAGATATTTAACAAAAAGACTTGTCGGAAATTTGGCTGGTCTAGAAAGGCATGGAAGTCTTTGGGCTTATTTCATACGCTATTTCAACTTTTTTATTTTTTCTTTTTGAATAGAAATTCCCCTTCCTAATATCAAATATAAAGTGATTGCATTTTTTTGGTCTATATGTAGATGTAGTTAATGAACCAATATCTAATGATGCTTTATATACACTTAGAAGTTCCCAATTCTCTCTAATGCAGTGACGGAAATGCTACGAGTTAACCTCATAAAATAATTTTTTTTTATAAGATGTTCGCTAATCAAATGATATATCTGCATCCTGATACATATGCTTTTGTTAATATCTTAAACGGGTCTATCGAAAGTCCACTTTTTCATATGAGTTTTCCCATTTGATTGTGAGCGAGGAACATCTATCAACTCGGGGCAAAAAAACTAATACAAATCTTATTAAAATAAATAAATGAATGATTGATTTATTTTGTCAAAAGGGCGGGGAGGGGGAGGGGAATTCTAAGAAGCAGACAAGAAAGGGGCAAGACAGTCATTTCAGTAAATTCCGCGTCAACCTTGGCAGGCGTTTGAAAATTGA